ATTTCCAAAGTCCATTGCAAATACTTAGATGTCTATCATATAATATACCTTTTGTAAAATTGACTTCCCTTCCTTTTCCTGTCCACCACGCATAGGCTCGGTGTCAGTTCATATCAATATATTACCTGCTCCTCACTCGCGCCTTTGTTTGCTCCTTTCTTTGAGCCAAGCCCTGGCATCTGCACGTCGGCTGTTTGACAGCAGTGAGCTGTTCAATACTTCATTTACACCGCATGAGGGTGTTTCAAGCTGTGTAGGATGCCAGAGTTAATTTGGAAGTCCTCCTGTTTGGAAAGGAACCAAAGGGCAAACAGATACTTTTTTTTTTTTCCCCCCACTGATGAAAAATTTTACCAGGGCAACCTGGTACCAGGAGGCTTTGAAACGAAAGAGATGAAACATCATATGCTAGAAAACAGATGGAAGAAGAGTTTTAAAGACATAATCCGATGTTCCCTGAAATCAAATAATCTTTACTGGGAACTTCCCTGAGCTCTGTCTTGTCCTTGAGGAATAATTTTAAATACAATATGGTTTCATATTATTTCCATTAAAATCTCCTTAGGTAGGATTAAGTAATCATTATCCCCCTGCAGAGCTTTTTAGAAGCTTTCCATTGACTTATTGCTCAAAGTTAATTGCACAGTCAGGAAGAATTACCTACTAATATAAGCAGTAAATAAAACAAAATTTCTCCTTCATATACTGCTGCTTCTGGAATTTAAGTATACACAAATCTTTCTAATGTTTGCCTGCTCTGATAAGGGATGGCTTTAAATCCAGCAAAGACTGCATAAGGTAACTAATACTCTGTTCTGGTTAGCTGGTGTAATTTTTTGTACACAGCTTTTTAAAACAAACAGATACATTAAAATGAAACCAGAGCACTTCACAATGCTCTCAACACACCTGCAGGGAGGAAAACATCTTCCTGAAAGAGAAAACTCTGTGGGTCCATGTTAAGATGGGCAGTTTCCCCAGGAAATCCCAGGCAGCAAAGCCTATTATCAGCAAATATTAACTAATGAGTCCGGCTTTGGGATCAGCAGGCAGCCTGTGCTCTCCCACAACCTGCTCCCAGGCACCGCCACGCTTCTGCCTGCATCGCAATGGCTCAAGCACACCATGCAAACTATAGAGGTGCTCCTTAAAGAAATAAGCCTTGCCTAATTAACTTTCAGGACCAAAAGGTGCCGTGTAAGACAAGCCACTGCAATGCTGTTTAAAAAATAAGACTAGGTTGCAGAGGAATGTGTCCAGGCGGGTTTTGAATGTCTCCAGAGAAGGAGACTCCACAACCTCTCTGGGCAGCCTGGTCCAGTGCTCTGTCACCCTTACAGTAAAAAAGTTTTTCCCTCACGTTCAGGTTGAACCTCCTATGCTCCGGCTTGCACCCATTGTCCCTTGTCCTGTCATTGGCTGTCACTGAGAAGAGCCTGGCTCCTTCCTCCTGACACTCGCCCTTTATAAATTTAGACCTCACTGGGCACATTAGTAACTGAAAACTAATACTGAAAACAAATTTCTTGCTTTTATCCTTTCCCAGCTTTCCCCCCACATTTACTGTTTTCTTAAAAGCAGATGAGAACTGCGTGTACATAAAACCACCTTGCTGCTTAGCTTTCCAGTGCATGGCTTTTTACAGCTGTGTAGTGCACATGGCTCTTCTCTCCGATGTCAAATGATAGGACAAGGGGCAATTTTGAACCTAATCACAATTCTTGAGTCGCTGTATGTTACATGCTTATCCTGGTGAGGAGCAGATGAAGCCAAACAGAAACATAAATTATTCTATGTTCAGTTTAGCTGCAGAAAATGGAAAGATGGGGTCTGAGAGGTGGGGATTTTTCCTTCCCTTTTTCTCCGCCCAGGTCCCACACTAACGGCTGTCCCTTCCCCTGTTCGGTCTCTGGAGCTGGCAGAAGAGACCAGGCATCACTCTTGTCCCCCTCCGTCAGCCCCGCTCTACCAGGGGCACCCAGCACCCTCTACAGCCCTCCCCGCACTGCGACAGCTCCGGCCGGGTCCCTGCCGGAACGCGGCGGGACGGTCCCCGCTCGCCGCCGGGCGCGGTGCTGCGGCGCCACCTTCTGGTGAGCGGCAGGAGCGCAGCGGCGGTGCCCGCCCGCACTTCCCTAGCTGGGGCGGGGCGCGGGGGAGGAGCGGGTGTCGAGTTTTAGGGCTGGGCTGGCCACTAAATGAGAAGCAGACGCTCTCTGTTAACCACTCTCCGCTCCCCAGAAGGGGAAGAGAAAGAGAATAAGGGAGAGAGGGTTGTGGGTTGGACAAGAAAACTAAATCAGGTTTAATGAATCAATAACAATACAAAAGGGTAATAATGTAAATAAGAAAATAACGAAATATATACAAATGTATACAATTTTATATACAATAACTTAATACAACAACAGCAGGATTCAGGAATGCATGGATTGGGATCGAAGGCAGCCGAACTAGCAGAGTTCTGCTCAAACATCAGGCATGCCAGAAGAAGCAACAAAAGCGAGGATTAAGAGGCAGCAAAAGGGGTTTGACTCTCGTAATCCCTTAGATTTATACTGACTATGGAGAATGTGGGATGGAATACTTTGTTAGTCAGTTTTGGGTCATCTGTTCTGTCCACTCCTCCCCACAGGAGCGACACCTCACTTACGACACCCATGATGTGGCAGTGACCTTGATTTCCATCGGCAGAAGTATAATCGAGAACTATATTTACGTACCATACCTAATAGTAATTATAAACATCAAGCACTGTCACTTGTAGAAGCGGACACCGTCTGGAAAAACATGCCATTAGTTTCAGAAAGTACAGTCACTTAGAAGAGACTTAACTGAAAAAGCAAAATCACTAAATAGAGAATTAGATCTTTTTAGCTCAAACCAGGACAGGAGAGCAGTCTGAGGCAGACCCCCTGGAGAGGCTGGAAGTGCTCGTCAGCCAGGCAGGAGCAGCCTGGAGATCTGTACATTGCTGATTCAGGCCTGTGGAAGCAGCAGCAGCAGCATCCTTGGGAGCTGGATGGATCAGGGATGGTGACAAAGCTCCTGGAGGTGGCTCACCTTGCAGTTTGGCACCGTTTGCAGGTAGCAGTGGGAATCACATCAAACCTGAGAACTTCTCAAGACACCCAGCAAAACCCTCAGTGTTAGAGGGAACATCTTGCTTCTGATCTGAAGCAGCCGAGGGGATTAAAATATCCGAGATTAAAAAATAATCCTTCTTCGATGAGTATGCTACGTATGGATGGTCATCCTCATCTAATGACAAGGAAGAAAGTCCTGGCTCTCCACATCCTTTGAAAGGATATGGCTATCCATCAGGTTTTTCCTGATTTCTTTTTTTTAAGAACAAAAAGCTGCCTTCTTTTGCAATGACTGATAGTATGACAAAAGTTAAACTACTTTGCTTCTACAAACCCAGACAGACAAGAAGTGCTCAAATTAATATGAAGCCTTCTGTGCATGCAAAGTCTGTACAGCATTGTAGAAAGGAAAGTGTATTCTGTTGAGCACAGATATTCCCTTAGTAATGGATTTAGAACTGCTTCTGCTGTAAGGTAAATAACACAACAAAATACTTTTAAAAGGTCTGTCAGATCGTTCTTTCCAGTAGGTCATTTGTTCATCTAAAGTCCTGGGAAATACAGTGCTCTGAACCCTGATACTCCTCGATTGGTGTTTAGCAGTAAATGAGGCAAATCCCATTCCTAAATCAGAATACCAATTTTAAGCTTGACATGATTGAATTTTAGTTGATTTGCATTAATTACAGAAATACCACTGCGGTAACAATACGTTTTTCAAACAAGCTCGGAGGGACAGTTTCTTGGCTGGCTGAGCGTGATGTAAGACCACACTGCTGCCAAAAGCAGTGCTCCTTCTGCATCTCCTGGGCCTTGTGTTAGTGATAATACAGCTGCTGACCTGGCTGAGAACTGTGCAGTGGGCTGAGCTCATTGCACCCTCAGCACCATCACTTAATCCTTGGTGTCAATGCAAGGAAACAGGCAGCCCAGGCAAGATAGGGAGTAAGTCTGGACTGTCTCTTCTGCAGGCTTAAACCCCCTAGGAAACTACCCCTGTGGTCTTGAAAAATGTGAAGATAGCAAATGACAGAAGCTCTTGAAGAACAAGAGAGAATAAAATTATTATATTCCTTTATTTCTTCATGTGTACCATAAATACAATTTCAGTAAAGTGGACTCAAGAGTAATTACTGTTTCAAAGGCACAGCACTTTGAAAAGGATTGGCACTTTCCTTTATCTTTGGGGTCCTTATTCACTTCAGTCTTTAAGTCTCTGTCTCATGGGTGGCTTGTACATGAGCCCAAAGCTGACTCTTTCTTCTGACTTCGCCAATGGCAACTGAGTCTTCTTCACAAACACTTCCAATGGATCTGCACTTTATCTCACCTTTATCTCACCAAGTGATCCTGTGCTGCAACCCCATAATGACAGTTGCAGACTATTTTCTCTTCACGTAAGGTAGGAAATTATATATCAGGTCATATTAGTCGGTATTTATATAATAAAAAATAGTAATTGCAGGAATGGCTCATATCGGTATCAAAACCACTTGTGTTAAGCCAATGTTTCCCCTGTAACTGTGGCGTCCATACGACAGAGCTGTCATCTCTACACACTTAGTGAAACAAAACACTTCAACACTCTTCAGGCAGGCTGGTGGAGTGACGTGTTAATCTGCTCCCATTAACAAGACAGCAAATTCCCAGTTGATCACCGAATTCAAATTAAGCACATGTAATCTCACTGTGACACTCACAACGGTGTTAACGTAACGCATACATGGAGATAGACAGGATGAAGTCAGGGTCCTCAGGAGTGCTCAGCTTCCAACATTAATGTCATTTAGATGCTCTCAATTTTAATATGGGTCATTAACACCAAACTCCTGTAATGACTGCTTTAAAGGCAGAGCCTTTTAACTGTGTCAGTCTCCTGCATATGATATCATATGACAAGGGGTGTGGGCAATGTTACAAGTTTTCCAGTTCGTGGCAGGATGGGGGAGTCCCTTCAGACTCCACCATGGAGATATATTTTATTGGAGGTGGCGGTGGCTTGAAAGATGGAGGTCTGTTCATACTGAAACAGAAGAGAAAAAAAATGTGGTGTCACACAAAAGCCATCTAAAAGGCTGTTGTAAGTTCACAGGAGGAGGTAGATGGACAAAAAGTCATTATAAGAGCACCTGACATTTGCTCTTACATACTGTGTCTTCCCCGTTTCTCTTCTACAGAATACCTGCTGATACTCATTTGGCTTTCTCAGCTCCCACCTCACAATTTTACTTTATTCATGCTTCAAAAAAACAGATCACGGTCCTGGTGAAACGTTCAAAACCCTTGCAGAGATCTTTTGCTCACATGGCTCTCTGAAGGTATGTTTAAAGAGTCATAACTTTCTCACTTTGTAGGCCGAAATAAAGATCCCATCACCAATCAGTGAAAAAAAATCAATCCCGTTTTTACTTTTGATATATGGGATTTGCAGTCATGTTTCAAAAGGGTTTTCTAGAACTGCAAATGATTCATGGTCACCATGATTTTCCAAACATTTTAGGAATGTTAGTAAGATTAAAAGTAATTGGCACTTAGATACTGCTTTTATCAGTAGATCTCTGGGTGCTTTAGTAGAGAATTTAACTTTGGTAATAATTACAAACTCAGTGCTGCTTTGACTGGGATCAAGTTTCAGGTAGCCTACTTTCACATATATTATTCACAACTCAAATAGTCTGTATTGCCCTAGAAGTACAATTTCATTAAAACATGTCCTCAAGTAACCATGCAAAATGAGAGAGCAAAAGCAGCTGGCAGGGAGGCTAATAGAAGTGGGGGGCTCTGGGGAAGAAAAATTGACTTGTATTCTTCCCTCACACCCTGAAGCTTCACCGCACTCTTTTTTTAAAGTTTATTTTATAGATAACCCACAGAACAGATGAAAGGACTGAGAACGCTCCATATTTCATACCTCTGTATGAAAAAACAGCATTAGCCATCCATGTACTTAAAGGTCTTGTGTGCTGCGGGTAGTCTCAAATGAAAATGTGTAAATCCAAATGGCTGGGTTAGAGTTTGTATTGTCCCTTGTGGCACCCCTCCCGCCCCTGCAGTTCCACTCCCTAGTACTTACATCTCTTTCTGGTACTGACACCATTTCCTGATGCCTAAAATTATTAGAAAACTGCAGAAGAGGAGCAGGATGGCTACCACTGTTGGCCAGGGGAAGCGACTGGCTTTCGTGTTCCTTGCGCCACCTGGAAGGGACACAGGAGACAGAGCTCAGCTGAATGAATGTCCTCGGAGAGGAGGTAAACCTGGGCTTGCTGCCTGTGGCTTGCTGCTACGTTCCCCGGGCACAGTACTGGTGGCAGCGCAGCCCCAAATCAACATCAGACTGTCAGGTTCCCACCCAGGCTGAGAATCCCACACTCTGAGCATTGCAGCTAAGTTTTATGGACTTAACCCACTTTTGTTCTGACTGGGCTTGTGGGCTGATTTCAGCCACACATCGGTTTACATGGTGAGATTATTCAGGCACGGTCCAGCAAACATTTCACCTGAAAACCCCTGTTTATCTCTGTTCCCCTTGAGCTTCTCTGAGAAGAGGAAGCATATCGTGCCACAGCCAGGCACAGCTGCCCGCGACAGCCCTTCTTCCCAACAGCTTATTTTTCATGCTGCTGACACCAAACCCTGCCAAAACATCTGGCCAAGGGCACAGCCACCTTTTGAGGTGGGGTCTTGTTGGAGGCACAGCATCCCTGCCTTGTCCCACCTGCCTCTCCCCATCATGGTACTGGTGGCTGGAAGAGGTGCCCTCAGGGTCCTGACTATGGGGAGGAAGGAGAGGAGAAGCAAGGTCCGTCTCCAGCCACTGCGGAGGGTGCTGCAGTGGGCTGGGTACCAGAAAGGGCTGGAGCACAAGAGTCACCAGGCAATACCGTCCCAGTGTCACCTTCCGTTGTGTTGTTGTCATGACCTTTTGCAAGGTTGGGCCTACCAGAACCTCACCCAGCCTGGGCCAGTGCCACAGCTGGTCACCAAGTCCACCTTGCTGCATGAGCGGTGGGTGGCCACTGAGATGCTGGAGTGTAACCATCCAAATTTTTCAGCTGGAAGAAAACATGCACTGTGGTGTCGCTTGCAGAGGCAGGGAGGAGGCAAGAATGCCAAAAGCCTGCAACAACCCATGGTGTGGGGACGCAGCTGCCATGACTCCATCCCTTTTTCCTTTTCTGAACGTCCCTGACCACATTTACATGATGCTCTAGGTTTCATTCTTCTCTCCTTGTCTTGTTTACTGCAATGGCACACTGAAAGAGGAGGGTTTGTGGGATAATATCTCACCAGTACTATTGAGCAGACTGCTAGTAGTAAAGAAATCTTTCCCTCTGGTCACTGAAATTGGCTGGTTTGTGGTGCTGAAGGACAGGTTACCTGAAAAGGTACAGGCACAGAACATTTTCAGTAACTTATTTGTTGGGGGTTTTTTTAATGAAGGTTGTATTTAGAAGCCACTGTTTTTCTCCCTGCTGAAGACTGGAAATCAGATTCCAGAATCAGGGTGTCAAAATTCACTCAACCTACATTTTTGGCCTGCAACCTGGTATTAGACAAAAAAATGTACTTTTATCAAATTATAGAACATTAGAAGAAAGAAAGAAAGAAAGAAAGAAAGAAAGAAAGAAAGAAAGAAAGAAAGAAAGAAAGAAAGAAAAAGAAAGAAAGAAAGAAAGAAAGAAAGACTATTAGAAAACATCTATTAAGACATTCTAGTGAGCCAGCATTGAGCTGCACAGCGGTCTGGGAGAATGATAAGCTTTTCGCCTCTGTGGTGGTAATGAAAAAGCTAAAGATATTAAGTGGCTTAGCAGCAACACAAAGAGTCTGCCTCTGCCGTGACTGAGTAAAACCTCAGTCTCCTCTATCAAGTACTGTGTCTGAACCACAAAAATCATCTTTCATCTGTTTGTAGGCAGATATTTTCCCTTTTCTAATACCGCTAAGCTACCTCTGTTTGAGATCAGTGCTGCCTAAGGATACATTCCTGTTTTTTCTAGCCGTCTCCATGTTCACGTCTTTCCAAATAATAGCTAAAATATGCAACTAGACAAGGGCACAGCATTTCCAGAGCTGCCATGGCACTTACGATGTGCAAGGGTTGTATTCTCGGAGGAGCGCGTGGCATTCCCAAGGCTTTGTGGGGATTCAGTGGTGGAATCATTCAAATCTGTACAAAAGGAAATAATATCCTTCAATTATCCTGCAAGACTGTACATGACTGTTTCATTAGGCTCAACTGTGGCTATTTTATACCCTTCGCTTTTCTCTGATGCAAACAACAAATGAAATAACAGCAATACCTGAAAGTCTCTAGCATAATTGCTGATTTATAAATCCAAGAAAAAAAATCCACTGTTTAAATGATGTAAATAAGTAACCAGACAGAGCAAGGAAAATCTCTTTCATATGAGATGCTGGTTTCTGATTGAAATTGAGCACTCAAATATACATATACATACATACATACATACTTACATATATGTATGTATGTATGTATTAAAAAGTCCTACCAAAATTAGTTCAATTTTAGGGCACTCTAAGAATTCACCAAGAGTTTTGGTCTTTAATTTAATTCAATTCTTCTTTCCTCCTTGTTTATTAGGTGTCTCATTTTATGAGGATAAGCACAGTACATCAGGCATTTAAAAAAAATATATTAAAAAAAAGGACATACTCTTAGAGATGCCATAACACTGTACTCCACACAGCATAGCAACAAGCGCTACTTATGATTATTTACATAATGGCTTGTGTTAGAGCCTCAGAGGATTGAACTGACAATGGTAATTCTTGTTGCACGAGCCTTGTGGCTCAGGGCACAGGGACACCAGTTGGTGAGCCTCAGCGGGCACACTGGCGCCCATGTGCTCTAAAATTGTCCTCCATTACAGCTGCCAGACTGAGGACCCTTGAAGGCGATGCCTCAGCTGGTGGGCAGGTAGGCACAGCTATAGGGAAGCTGATGAGTGGTGTGATGCATGGTACTTCCTGCAAATCGTACTGTAATTCAGCATGGTTTTAGCAAAAATCGCAACCAGCAAGCTGTGCAAAAGCAGGATCGTGAAGCATTAGAAGCTGTCATAAGGTTTCGGTATAAGTGTGTAGTTGTGGGTTATAGGCTGGTAAATAAGCACCAGAGTGCTAACAAAAAATACATTCAGAAAATGGAAAGTGGCTGTTACATTTGTGTTTCAGCCAAAAGATGACTGCCACACAAATGCAGAAGTGCATTGACAGGTCCTGCCTGTTCTGAAAGCACAAAGACAAAGAAAGAAAGTAACTTCTGACTTTCTGCTGCTGATCGGAGATTTTCTAAAGGGAAAGACTTATGAAAAAATGTCCACATCTACTTTTTAAAATTGATTTATTGATCATTAATGAGGCCACCTTTTGATGTTCTATTAGCCAGCCTTTATTATCCTGCATTATCTCATGATTTCATTGCTGCTTTGTGATTTTATTCAGCTTCTCCAGTAATTTATTTCATCTATAAACTACCCTCAGTACTCACTGCATCTGCCTAGCAACTCTCTCAATTTTAATATTATCAAATTAAATATGTCTAATAAAATCAGGATACTCAAAAGCTTTTCATTCCTCTTTTGCTGCTGCAGATCCTTGACAGCTTGGAAGACTCAAGTTTTTATCTTCTAACTTAGTGCAACTCAGCAGGGGAATTGCTTCTGTAAAGTGTTGAAAAGCTGGTACAGAGTACACCACTTGACTTTTAGCCTCTGCTCAGGTGCAACTTTTCCATGTTTAGTAATATTTTTTGCATGGTGATGTGATTGTTATCAGCTATCAGCTGAAAATCAGCACCACAGAGCTAAAGTTCTTGGCAAAGGCATCACAAACTGAGGACTGCATGGAGTCAAGTACCTGCTGCTGTACTTTTTGCAAGATACTCCAGATCACTGTAGATTTGCAACCTAACACCCACTAAGTTGGTGCCATGTTTGCAGCACCTGTATTTGGCTACATTTAGCTAGGTAGCTCCCCTTTTAACAGTCCTATGAAGCAAAAGAGATGCATCATCTACTCATGTGCTGTTGTCAAACTCCCATTGAGTGCTGTGGTGTTAGTATAGCTTTTTGTCTCTGTGGTAGAAGTCAGTGCTTCTGCTGAAAAACACACAGGCTTGTAAAAGCTGCTGTAGAGGACCCTATCACTTGTTCTTAATTTTCCCCTCTTTCTTCCCTGTTTCCTGACTAAAGAGATCATACAGCTGTAACCTACTACTTGAGATACTGGCTGTCCTCAGACAAGCACCACAAATTTCTGTGTCTAGTCTGTCACAAGCTAGAAAGTCAAGAAGAGTTTGGTGAAATGGATGAATAAACTTTGAGAAAACATATGGGACATTTAGGCATACATTTTTGGTATTTAGTTGAGTTTCAGCTGAAACTCAGTAGTTCTGAGTGCACTGGCTTCTTTTGACCTGTAGCCAATATAATGTGATGAACAAACACCCGTAAATCAGAATTTAGATAGGGTTTCACCAGCTCCAATGAGACAAAGCTGTTTTGCCAAGTAGCAAAGAGAAGTTTTGAAGACGTTGGTGTTCAGGAGTCATGCCTGAGATGCCTGATGCCGAAAACCAACTTATTTAACATTTTTCTTTAATCTTTTTTTTGAACTACTAAGTATTCTAGAGCCAAACTAGCTATCTAATATTAAAACACAGACAGATGGTCGCTGGCAAGTAGACCTTTATTTTCCCAAGGGGACTATTTTACATTTACTGAAAAGAGTCTATCTTTCCTAACACCTGGGGTTTTTTTTAAAGGCATCTTTAAGCCATCTGAACAAATCTGAGAAGCTGAAATGCAGCTGTAACCCAGCACTTAAAGCCTGAGCATCTCTGGGCTCATAGATGGAGATATCATGGAAGCTAAGCAAAGCCCAGGCTGCAGTTTTAACAGCCCTGGTTTTGTCTCCTCTCTTCCTTCTCCTATCTATATTTGTGTACTCTTCCCTCTTATCATAGAATTGCTTGTCTTGGAAAAGACCTTTAAGATGGCCAAGTCCACCTGTTAAGCTAGCACTGCCAGCTCCACCTGTAAACCATTTCCCTAAGCATCACATCTACACATCTTTCAAGCACCTCCAGGAGTGGTGACTCCACCACTTCCTGGGCAGCCTGTTCCAATGCTTGTCAACTCTTTTGGTGAACAAATTCTTCCTAATATCCAACCTAAACCTTTCCTGGCACAACTTGAGGCCATTTCCTTTTGTCCTATCACTCGTTACTCCAGAGAACAGACCAACCCCTACCTCACTACAGACTCCTTTCAGATAGCTGTGCAGAGCAATAAGGTCTCCCTTCAGCCTCCTTTTCTTCAGTCTAAACAACCCTTGTGCCCTCAGTCACTCTTCAGAAGACTTGTTCTCTAGACCCTTCACCAGCTTCTTTGCCCTTCTTTGGACATACTATGGCACCTCAATGTCTTTCTTGTAGTGAGGGGCTCAAAACTGAACACAGTTTTCAAGGTGCACCCTCACCAGTGTTGAGTACAGGGAGAAAATCCCTTCCTTAGCCCTGCTGGCCACACTGTTGTAGATACAGGTCAGGATGCCATTGGCCTTCTTGGCCACCTGGGCATACTGCTGGCTCATATTCAGCTGGCTGTTGACCAACACCTCCAGCTCCTTTTTTGTCAGGCAGCTTTCCAGTCACTCTTCCCCAGGTCTGTAGTGTTGCGTGGAGTTGCTGTGACTCAAGTGAAGTATCAGTTCCCAGCTGTCTCTTGAATTTTCTTTTAAAACTTGCAAAATAACAGGAACTGAACCAAACCCCGTTTTACAATGGCAAAATCTGACTTGGCGTCCTGACTTGGGTGCAGCCCAAATGATCTGCTCAAGAAGCTGACGATGGCATTGGTTCTGGGAACTAGCAGTGAGCCAGTGAGAAGCACTAACCCATGGTTGGCACACCACAACTGCCACACGTCAGGGGCCTTGGTTAAAAGGCAGATGTTTCCTGGGCTATTTACAGAAGAGAAATGGCTCCACTCTGGCTTACAGTATGACTTTGACCTCGTACCTCCTCAACCAGCAAAGATGTATTATCCAGTGAAGAGAATCCTCTCTGTTCACATTGTGTATTTACAGCCTTTGTTGTTAAATTGTTAAGACAGAAGGGCTTTTAGTCCATTTGGACAAGCACTTTGCTACCCTGCTGCCAGCCAGGCTGGGCAAGCATCTCTGCTTTGGGGATGGGGAAGGCAGCGTGAGAAGCAGCAAACTTTAATTTCAGTGCAGCTGCAATCTGTGTTCCTCCCCTGGCAAATCTCAACCTAACCTCTTCATGGCCCAGGGATTTATACTGAGTACTTCAGCTCCCAGACAGCACTCTACTGGGGCTGGGTGAAGCCTTGTTTTTAGCATCTTCCTCCAGTATTACCCCACACACTCGCATTACTCGCTCATATCTGAGTAAGTACTGCTGTAGCATACAGTAGGTTACTTTAAGCAGGATTAAATTACACAGCTTAAGGATGACTTTTTTATTATTTGGGAGAACAAGGCTGCCACAAATACCAAGGACCAAATCCACTCTCGCCAGCTGCTGCCTCAGCAGTGGATCCTCTCTGACCCAGAGCTTTGGTGCTGCTATGGAGGGGAAGATGGTGTTTGACAGCAACTTGCCATATTGCCTCTCCCTTGCTCTGCCCATGCTGCTGTTTCACATGTGCTGTTTTGCACCCGAAATGGGAGCATGTGCCATGCCACATGGCAGCAAGCACACAACTTACTGCTGATGAGGGCAGCCCCAGTGCCCTTATACTGCCAGCCCTACAGGGATCAACAGCTGGC